TCAAACTTTCCATAAATACTTTATACTATAAAATATTTAAATGAGAGGTATAAGTCATGTGCGCGCTCCTGTCTTTGTACTCTGAATGTGTAGAATCTGGGAATTTTAGATTTTATTTTTTTACCTCACGTGTGAACTGAATTATTTAAATATTGTGATCATTTACCATGAGAAAAATGTATTTTTTTATAAAAACATTTCAAAGTTCTCTTTCCTCCCCTAAATTTTCTATTCCCAATATGGCTAATAATTCTAACATGTTGTCTAAAACTAATGTGACATTCTAAAGGGAGACTATTTCAGTTTTGATTTCCATTTATATTTATGATATATACGAAATATATGCTATACCTAAATTGAAGAAAATCAGTGTTTAACAAATGCTCTTGTTTAATTTTATTATTAATATTTTGTGGACATCTGAATGATATCAAATTGTCCTCGGAAATTCAATTTTGATAATATTGAAAATGGGCACTAAGTGTTGTTAACTTATCTTAGTTGAGTCTATAACATTCAGCAGGAACAAAACATAACAGCATACAAAGAATCAAAATATGGACCAAAGGCAAAATTAAAGAGTAAGACCATTTTGTAGCCAGCATATTATAAGTGAGCATTATTTTAGCCAATAAAATGATGAGACTTTGTGTGAATTATAGTTCCTTTACTACTGTTGTGGCTTTTGCAAATTACTAAATTTTTCTATAACTTTCTCATTTCTTAAGTAATTTGGTTGATTTTCAAAAATGTTTATTTAATAATGTGCGTATAGTGTTGTGAGCTTTTTGGAAAAAAAAGATTCTACATAAATTAATTAGTTAGACTATCCATTTCTAAACAGACTCTTAACATGTCCAACGAATTGAATGTAAATGAATGCAGACAGGCAGGATTTCATTTAGCAGCATAAATAGCTGAACTGAAATGCAGGAAAGAACACACAAAGAAGTCAAAGACATATGTATTAAAGGGAGAAAAATATGAAATTAAGAATAAACAGACATTTTAAGACCTTCTCCATAGAGAGCTGATTTCTTAGAAGGATATTTGAAATCATTATCTGTACTTTTTTTTCCATTATTTTAAAGTAAATTTGGTAAAATCTTCAGTGATGAGGAAATATATATGATGTTTGTGGATTTAATATATTCTCACTCTTCCTCTAAGTGTTCTGTATAATTAAAAGGTTAAAATATTGAACATAGTTCAGATATCCTCTATTTTAAAAAATACACATAAATCTTCGCCCCATATGTTTTTACTATATGAAATTTTATTTTACTAATAATATTTCTAATATATTTTAAGTAATTATCATAACTTAATAGTTTTGACTTAAAAGCAGCCAGAATATTAGATATAGGCATAAAATAAGTTCTGCAAAATTTTGTCTGAATAACTAAAATTAGAAAGAAGAAATTAAAATATTTTAGACATTCATATTTGGATGAAAACGATTTATTTTTGCAAGCCAATCCTAACATTTGAGCTTCATGTATTAATAATTTTTCCAAAGCCATCCATAATTTGATCATTACTGTCTGACACACAAATATTTGGAATTTTTTAAAAGTTAAACATGCTCCCAATTATTGCTTTGAGCTTGCTATGAGTTCCTGGAGCATTTTATACCAGGAAATCAATAAATCAATAAATACAACCACTCTTGTTATAATATTCAATTAATAGTCTCATATCGTCCCAACTATTCTTTTACATTACTTTCTAAAAGAGTGATTTGTTCTAGTTCATTTTTATTAAAATTATTCCTTAATTTTACCTTGTAGTGAAACACCTACAAATATTCATGAGTGTATTATCAAAAGAGGATACTCAACCTCATATACTAGCGTGACTACTTTGAGATAGGTAAGCAATGCAAACAAAATAAATGTAAGATTGAGATAATGCTCTACACATAGAGCCACAGTCTCTGTAATAACTTGCCCTGTAATTGCATGGGTTCTCACAGACTTTTCTTTCAAGATATGTAGAATGCATGAGAAACGGGCAAAGTCTGTTATTTAGTTTTCTGAAAAGCTGCCTTCCATGTGAGGAAGTGACTAATTTTTCATTTCACACTATAAAGGGCGTGAAAAGGCAAAACAGAAGAAGGCTGAGGGTTTTGTGTTAGAAGAAGGAAAGGTGAGTCCTGCTTAAACAGACAGGAAACACACCATACATATTCAGATGGAAAGTCAAATTGGAAACATTTGAAAGTGCTAAGAAAATATGAAAGATGTTTTTGTTAATGTTGTGAGTTTGTTTTCTTTACATGTGGTAGGCTTATTTATTGTTAAATTACTAAAATAATACTACTAGAATTAAAACAGATTAACTCAGAAATTCAAAAAAGTTGTGTGAAGAAAAGATGTCAAAGAGTTAATTTAACCCTTTCCGTTGTAAAAATTTTGCACTTGTTCTGTTATGCAACAAATATATATCCCCACTCCCCACCACTGTTTTCTACTCAATTCCCTCTCTGATTTATGTATTTTTCCTATTCATTCAAATACGATGCAATAATCCAATAAAGAGAGAATAAAGAGAATACGTGGCAATATTGTACAGTATGATAAATATTTAGAAAAAAGAGAAGAGATGCATATTGCAATACCATTGGTTATAAATAAAATACGCTTATCCCTCTCATGATCCTTTAGAAAATTTACTTTTCCTCAGGTGTTTTCTAGCAGTTTGCTATAATCTAGATTTTTTAAACAGATGAATTACAAATTGGCAGCTACTTATACTCTAGTGAAAAGAGTTCTATTACATTTTGCTCATTTTATTTGTGATTGTTCTTCCTTTTCATGGGGATATGAGTTTTCCCCCAAGCCAGAATTTATGGCTGTCTTTCCTTGTGTAGCTTAACAAATCCCATCTGCATACTTTCCCATCAGGATGCATTATACACCATGATGTTTCCCTTATTTTATTAAAATATTTTTCCATATCTTGTTAAAATATTTATTAAGCATTCTGTCCCTGTAGAACCAAGTATATATTCTGGAAACACATAACTGAGCACCAGCTTCTCTCTGTGAACCTGTTACTCCTGACAAGTCATAAGGAATCCTGGGAGAAACATCAATGCCCTTCATCAAATCAAAGTTGTAGTACACTAAATGTGACCCCTGTGGCCTGAAAGAAATAATACACCTCTCCAAATTCCTACACCATGCCCCAAGAGTGAATGGCGCACTGGGAAAGTTCCTGTTGATGATGTGAACCATCTTAATTTGTGTCTTCCCTCCAATTCCCTACTACAAGGTGGTCAGTTCTAGAGTGGAATGCTATATCTGTTCATAAGAATGTAGTGCACCTGCATGGCAAACTCCATGCTTAATGGACATGAATGGGAATTGAGCACCTTAATATGATGTCAAATTTGATGCTTACTTAGCTCAATTATTTGCATGACAATAAATTCAAAAAACTCAAAGCATAAATCATTTACAGATGTAAAAACCCTATTTTGAGGATAATTCTTAAATTTTGAGGGTACAAGTTTTATTGTTGGAAAATTGTTTCAGATGAATTATTTGCTTTTACTATCCCATATTCACCATATATTGTCTTATTCAGATAATTGTTCTTATGCCTTAGTAAAACTCCATGAAAAGCATTTAAAAATTAGTATAGGTGATGTGTAAAAAACAGAAGACAGTATTTTTGCAGCTAAAGAATTCTTTTCTTTAAATTAAATAGAAAAACTACGTAGCCACAGCTCTAGGAAGCTCATCTAGGTCTCTGTGATGTCTTCGATTCCGTTTCTTCTTCATTTCCTGCATGTGCTTCCACTTTGGGCCGCCCTTGTTGCGCTGTCTCCGCTTCTCCCTATGCCACATCTGTTCACAGTACTGGTCGAGGCTGAAGTTTGGGCTGCTAAGGATTTGGATGTAGTCTTTGTATCTCAACCGTGACTCAGCCAATAGATCCTTGACCTGCCCCTCCTCATGCTCTGCCCTCTGGGTATTTTCCATCTGTTCATTCTCAATGACATTCAAAGTCAGCTTCACTATGGTGTGGATGAAAGTGTGCTCCTGTGCTTTGCAGTAATATATCCCAGAGTCCTTCTTCTGCAGACTTCGAATCAGTAGCCCATATTCCGTTTTGATGATCCTTTCATCGGGTTTCAACTGCGGAATTGGAAAAATGTAGGTAATAAATTAAAAACAGAGAAGACTATGAGCAAATGAAAACAGGCTACATAGTTTTACTTAGATGAACCTTAAAGATATATTCTCTATCTTTCTGTCATCAAGCATAATATTGTCAGCCATAGTTGAAGAAGGTGAATAAATTCAACTTAAGTAATAACCCCCAAACCATATCCTGAATTTTTCACATTTGTATCTTATTAAGTCTAACTGAACCTTTGGAATACAGTTAGTTTTTCTCCCAGTATATAGATAGTAATGAAAAGCTGTGAAAAGTAATAAAGTAAAACTGGAAATTATCAAGTGTCCTTCTTTACAGATTTCAGATACAAACTAGTGTACTAAGATCACAAACTGGAATCTCAATTTCAGAGCTAGACTGTAACGTTAACAGTCATCGTGTAGAAAAGGAGCTTTAGTGCATGCTGCTACCTCTAATGTAGAATAGAACAATGATTCCAAAAGGAATTTACTCTGTTTTCTAGATATCAGCAAATCAGTAATCTGAATGGCATATGGAAGCTATAAATGGTGATTTCTGGAGATGTAAGTAGAAAGGCACGCATACAATCCTTTGCATGTTAGAGCTATAACTGAGTCAGACCACAGTCGGAAAGTTAGCAACATTTAAAGCTGAATTTCCCTTTTTACTATGGATTGAATTTTGATACTATGTGTATATGTGATACTTTAGACTATGTCATTTGTGGAAATATTTGCCATACCTCGGTATACTATAACATGGTAATGTGATTTCAAGTGTGAGAAAGCACAATGAACAAAAAAAAAAAAAAAAAGCTCCCCTCTTCCCTGAAATGTGATACTTTTTAGCCTTTGAAATAATATTACTGAAAGACAATTCTACATTAAGCTTTTCTGGCCTGTAATCTGGTGTGAATGCTGACCCTATCTTCAGGAAACTAGAGGCATGTTTATCCACAGAAGAGCCCTGTTTAATGTGGAGTATTGTTGAGTAGCTCAGCATTAGGGGGAACAACAATAACAACAACAAAGAAGTCTGGAAAATTTCCCAGTTTACACATCTGTCTCTGTATTGTAGACTTTTAGTTGATGGAAGTCAAGGAGGCAAAAGATGACTAAATTAAATTTATTCACAGTGGGTGGACTATACTCTGCATCTTTATGTGAAAAACATGTAGGGAAAAAAAAAACTCCTCCAATTCTGGAAATATGAGAAAAGGAAAAGAAACATCTTTGGCTACCAGCCCAGTTAACTAACAAGTATATGGCAAACCACCCTCTGTGCCAGAGAAGTGCAGCTGGCGGGGTACCATTTGAGGCCAAAGGCAGGTCACAGCTCAGACTTCTGGTTAATGAGGCTGAATGGTCTCCAGGCCTGCCTTTGCTCTGCACTGAAGCCACATCATCAGGGTTTTGTTTGTTTGTTTGTTTTCCTTACTTTGCCCATTTGGTGAGTTGGATGCGTAGTATTCTTTTTTTTATGGATTTTTTTTCCTAAAAACCCAGATATTTTAAAATGCGATCATAATATGAACTAACCTTGAATTAATTTACGTTCTCTGGGCCCATAAGAGTCTCATGCCTAAAATAAATGTGAATTTGAATTGGTGGAGTTCTAAATGGCCAATCTTAAACAGAAGTGGCAATCTTAAATCTAACACACTACATATATTTTTTTCTCTTAAATAATTTCACTGTAAGAATTGTTTTTTAAAAATTAAATAATTCTTAGACCTCAGAATATTAGCTCCATAAACTAGATTCTGATCTCTATCTGCTCCACTTTCTATGATGACCCATTTATCTTCCTATATTGGTCTCCCATCTATCAAGTTAGTGGCACAGCATATGGTGTATTTGAGGGATTAAAAGCAAAGCTCTTTGAAGGTTAAAGTGTGAAGTATTATTAGCAACATTATAGACTACTGCCATGTTGCTTGAGAGGTAATATTCTGAAGCCTTTATTTCTGTAATTCTCTTAATAGAACATGGCCTGAGGTTATTAGCATGACAATCAAAGCCAGTACGTTCAATCTCAGTTCATCTGTAGATTTCCTTAACATAACCAGTATTCTTGCTACTGTTTAAACTGTATTTCATGTGGCTTTTAGAGATTGTCACAGCTCTGACTCAGTAATTTTTATTGTTCTCTTTAATCTTTTGACAGGAAGAAATTATGACTTTGATTTCACACATACTCTACAACACTCCATCATTATTTGCTATTCTCTCTTTGTATCCTGTTTATGTTGTTTTACTCTAAAGTCTGGTTCCCTTCCCTCCTTTCCATTCTAGTTCTGACCCCACAGGACTCAGAATTTCATAAACACCTGGCATTTCATTAGTTGGTCATGATCTTTCACCTTTCTTTTCTTCATGGCATGCTTCATTTGCTCTTTGGTTTTTGACCTACAGATATAAAACCCACTTTAATAAATTTCAGACTTTCTGAATTTACCTAACGTCTATTAGATCATTTAACCAATTTTTGGTTCTTGCTAAAATTTCAATAATACACCTTTAATAAAATGGCAGCGCTAATAAAATACATTTTGAATAGATAGATTTTCACAGTACTTTTGCAATTTAGAGATAGAAAGCTGTGACCCAGAAATTAAGTAATTGATTAACGTTTGCCTACTTTACATTCTCATTCTCTGTAATGCTTTCATTCTGTACTGGAATAGGATGCATTATGCAGACTGTATCTAAACAGTGAAATGTCAGCACAGTCAATTTAGAAAATTCAGCTCCTAGAGGAGCAGAAAGATAATGTAATTTCTGGCCACTGATTTAAACTCATGGAATTTTCTCCATTTTAGAAGTGATAAGTAAAAACTGCTCATCCTTACAAATCAAAACCATGCTTGAGTTGAGGTCGACTATCCATTCGCCTAATGTGAACAAGGATAATATATTTGGCATTATTAAAAGTAGATCTTCAGTGCAGGCCAATTCATTTAAAATGAGAAGAGTAACATGGAAGGGAGAAAGGACATTTAGGTACTAAGCAGCAGGTAAAGGTCAGGGACTTTATCTCTGATAATGGCAGCCTAATGGTGCTTTCTTTACTGATAATTCACCTGTCAATTCTTTCATGGTTAAAGCATTGCATGTGTCTTGGAAAAGTCTAGGGCTTCAAGAATATCTCCTTTCTCCAACAAACAGAAAATACTACTAGGGGAAAATTAGAATTAAACAAGGACGAAAGCTCCCAGTATGAAAAAACAAATATCTATAAAACTGTTACAAAAAATTCTCTGTATTTAAAATAAAACATTGAAAAGATTTCTTATTTAATTTAAGAGAAAGGAAAAGGAAGTGGAATAGAATCATTTGTGTACATGTGTTTAAATTTCTCAGAATATACTTACATGACACTATACATGATTCATTTATTAATATATCACAAAACCAATAATTAAGATTTTTAGGCAAACATTAAAAAAAGAAAAATATACTAAAATATACTGCCAGAGCAACTGGGTCATTATTTGAAAGAAAAAATCAAATTTATACATAAATAAATACTAGATTAATAACTTCAAGTAAATGTAAATATGAAATAAAGTACAAATATAAATGTAAATATAAAATGTAAAGTATAAATGTAAAAATAAAATAATAACTACAAAAATATATACTGGCTGTCTCATTGGTGAAGGAGTCTTTAAGCAGAATAGGCAAAAATTATAAAAAAATTAAGAGCCATAAAACAAAATAAAGTTGTTTATAATATGTATTATATGAAATTATTAATATCTATAACATATAAAGTGCTGGTTAAAACCATTTGTAAATGAATATGGCAATATCAATATGAATAAACTAAGCAAATGACAGCAAAACAATTTGCCAAATACAATGAAGCCAACAGGCAAGAAACATGAGAAGGTAAGTTCACATCTCCTAATATCCAAAGAAATAGATATTAATACAATATATTTTTTCATAATAAACTAGTGAAGATTTTCTTTAATTGTGATGGGAAATTTTGCCTCAGGAGTTCATAACAGGCACTAACATGGTGATTTTTATGGGAAATTAGTGATATGTGGTAATTTATCAAAAGCCATAATGATAACCATCTTTAACTCATTTATTTCATTTCCAGGAATTTGTCCTAAGAAAATAATTAGAAAAGTAGAGAAAGATTTAGATATAGGGAAGTTCATTACTTTTATTTTTTAAGAAGGAACATAAATTATTTAAATAAAGCATGTAATATCCATGTATGACTGTGTCATCAGAATAGAAGGGGTAGGAGACAGGGAAAATACAGTAATAACATTAAATTACAATGGAAAATGCTCAAAGTGCAAAAAAAACTAGAATAAACATCAAAATTTGACTTGTGCTTATCTATACTTAGTGGCCTCATAGTTCTTTTTAACATGTCATTGTAATTTTAAAACCATTTATTTTGATTTTACAATGAAAAGAACGAAAATAAAATAAGGACCTATAAATGGAAAAATGCAAATATTTGAAGATGTTTTTACAATGTTATTAAAATCCACAGAGAAAATGTGGTATTGCCTCATTAATTCATTCGGATCCCAAAAATTCAACAGAAGCTTGGGGACTGCGATTAACTTGCTAGTTACTGCATAAACATCATCAATTTTAAGAACAGTTTTATAAGAAAGTCAGCAGATAACTGACTCATGACCTCCCCAACAGCACCCGACTGTGAAACAGCCCAGTGAGGAAATGTTCTCCTCCTGGCAGAGAATAACCTGGTGACAGCCTCCATGCCACAGGAGATCATGATCCCTCCCTCAGGCTTTTTCTGAGGGAAAAAAAGATTCCAAGCTGTGACCTTATGTGTAAGGAGCAGAAGGTATCCTGTTGGGGAAAAAGCTTCAAATATAATATGGATATTGCCCTTTTCTCAGCTCAGGAAGCAGTATTGCATGTCTTGGACAATGTGAAACCACCTATTTACAAAGACAGATGAAAATACCAGTTGAAATATTACAGCTGAGATCCTTTTA